GAAGATGAAGAAATTGAAGATGTCGATATCGTTCAAGCAAATCTATTTGGAAGGTCTGAAGGCGTTTTGCAAAAAATGGAACAATTACTAGCAAAACCAACAGTAGACCGAGAATCAATAGTTTCCGGGGGGAACGAAGGAAAGTCAAATCTTCATCGACTTCCGAAGTTGGAACTACCGAAATTTGGAGGAGAAGCACGGGAGTGGCTGCAGTTCTGGTCAGCCTTTCAAAGCGTCCACGATGATGACTCCATTTCGGCCTGTGTCAAGTTCCAATACCTACAAAATTGCATGATAAAGGGATCGGTGTCGGAGGAAATAGTTTCATCCTTTCCAAACTCAGCGGCAAATTATCCACTTGCCATCAGCACTCTTAAGGAACGTTTTGGCCGTGAAGACATGTTGGTGGAAGTGTACGTAAGGGATTTGATTGCTATCACTTTGGAAAATGCTCATGGAAGGAACATGACACCTTTTTCGACTGTATACGTTCGGTTATCATCACAACTACGAGCGTTGGGATCTTTAGGAGTGACAACAGATAAATGCGCTGCTATTCTGTACCCCATGGTGGAATCAGCTTTACCTGAAGATCTCTTCGTCGCGTGGGAAAGGACTCGTCATCATCACAAGCCTGATGAAGATGGAAAGCATAAATCAAGTGAAGTCCTCCTGGAGAAGCTTATGGAATTCCTAAAACACGAAGTTGAGGGAAGTGAAAGAATGCGTTTGGCTCGTCAACCGTTTTCGAGTTCGTATCCATCACAATTTAATCGAGATAAGCCGCCCAAGCCGAAGACATCTGTCGCCACCGCTGCAAGTCTGGTAGTTGCTGATGGGAAGTCAAATAACGCTTATAAATGTGTATTTTGTGATGGAAAACATTTGAGTGAACAATGCTGTAAAGCCATGTCAATGTCTCTTGAAGCAAGAAGGAAAATAATTCAAGAGAAACAGTGTTGTTATTCTTGCTTGAAGCCCGGACACTTTTCCAAGTATTGCAGAAACGTTGTGAAATGTGTCATCTGTAGTAAAAAACACAGGGCAATCTTATGTCCAGTTTCAAAAGGCAGCCAAAAATCTGATGGGATTGAAGAGAGAAGTAAGAACATAAATGCATCCGTGGACATGTCGAATCAAATTCGGTGCCAAGATGTCTTACTTCAAACAATCATGGTAAAGATTGACGGCGAAAATAAATCAAAAGTTGTTCGAGCAATGTTAGATAGTGGATCCCAGAACTCATATGTATTGGAACAAACTGCTTCCGAAGTTGGACTCACTATGCTCGGGAAAAAGGAAGTTGTACACTTACTATTTGGTGGAGTCAAATCGAGACCACAGCAGCACAAGCGGTATCGAATCTACATCTCTGATGTGGACTCCAAGTACAACTGCAATTTTGAAGTACAAGACTGCTCAACGATTTGTAGTGCAATGCCTTCCGCTCAACCTACCGAATGGATGACGGAACTTCGATCAAAGGGAATTGACTTGGATGTCTATAGGTCGAACACGGAGATTGAACTACTACTAGGAGCAGATGTATACGCCAAGCTACTAACAGGAAATAAAATAGAATTGGAATCTGGTCCTGTCGCTCTCGAAACGAAGCTGGGCTGGACTGTTAGTGGAAAGGTTTTGGAAAATGTTCAAACAACTGAATCTCAATCATCAGTTCTGTCATGCCTAGTCCGAGAAGCAACAATACAAGATCTTCCGAGATTAGATGTTATCGGTATCATGGAACCCATGAAGGAAAAGAGCAAAGAAGAGTTGTCAGTTGCAGCGTTGGAACATTTCAACCAAACAGTGAAATAGAATGAAGATGGTCGATATTCTGGCAATTTACCTTGGATAGGAGAACACCCACCACTCCCTAATTACAAGCTAATTTCGGAGAAGAAACTTGAATCTACTACTGCTTTAGCAGGGATTAAACGTGATATGAACTGGTCAGTGTTTGTCGCAGGAAGAGTAAAGAAGATTCGACAAAATTCAAGCATAACTGATTGGAGGCACGTTCCTGGTAAAGAAAATCCTGCAGACATCCCCTCACGTGGAGCTTCAATCTCGCAATTGATTACTACTAGATGGTGGGAGGGACCAGTTTGGCTTAAGAAAGAAGAACAATTTTGGACACAGTCTGCAGAAAAGGAGTCAATCGAAGAAGTCAATAGTGAACTGAGAAAGGCAGTCGTCACACCCTTCAACAGAAAAAGAAAAAAAAAATAGGGGGAGAAGGATTTCATGGCCATTAGGAAAAGTGGAGGAGGTGCTACCTGGGGCCGATGGACAAGTTCGAGTCGCAAGAGAGAAGACATCATCGGGAGTTTTTCTTCGTCCAGTACAGCGACTTTTTCCATTAGAAATAAAACAAATTTAGATTGGCCTCTACTATAGCCAAGAAAATATAGTATTAGAATTTAATTTATCAATTAAATTGGTGGGAGGAATGTTAGTGAAAGGCACGCCCGCGCGACGAAGAGAAGAACAGTTTTCAACCAACACCACCGCCGACGGACGGTGGCGACGTCACGGTCGGCGCGCATGCGCGGCGGCGGCGGTCACGTGGGAAGCACGGGCGTGGGCCCTTCGAATTCTGACGGCCAACACGGACTGACTTCTCTCCCATCCATCCGTTTCAATCGAACAATTTTTAACTTCTTTAATTACTAAATTTAATTTGTAACATAAAATTAATATCTATATTTATCCTGAATAAAATTTAAAATATCACGGATGATCAATTGAATCATTCTTTCAATACCAAACGAACCTATCATAGTGTACCATTCAAAAAGTGTACCGAACATGTGTGAATATATATTTCAGGATGAAATTAAGAGCTTCATACACAAGAGTAAAATATAATTCATTGAGAAATCAAAACATGTAACTTCTATTTCACATATTGTAAGTTATATTGCCACCAAAAATAAAATTTAATAAAAATATAATTAGTATTCTGCTATCAAAATAAAGAACAATTGAGTAAAATGAAGTGTCAAATTGGTAAAATATGAAGAAACCTGTGATTTCTAAGAACATAACTAAAATATGTAAAAGAGGTGATTATGCATAGGATGCGTTAATATTTATAATAATTATAAGATGAATAATTGAAGGTTATATAATTATAAATGATACTGTCAGGAAATAAGACAAATAATATTCGGAATATAAATATATTTATAATACAATATAATATAATGCGGCTTGTGATTGTAAAACGACATTTGAAAATTATCCCGCAAGTGTTTCTTTTCAACGAAAAAACCAAAATTTATTTTAAGGAGAAATAACGATTATTTCTAATCTTAGGGATGAGGTATGAAAGGGTGAATTGAGAAGAGCAATGATAAACGGAAAAATAAAAGTGTCCAGGGATGGGAATCGAACCCACATTGTTCCGCTTACCGGGCAGATGCCATGTCCACTATGCTACCCTGGACATATAAGGTGCGTTCATTAATTTACAGGACTGGTTAAAAAATAAAATAAATAAAAAAGCTGAAGAAAAATATTTTATACAGAGTTAAATATTGGATATTCGACCACACCTGACTGAAAGCACGAGTCTCGTGGCGCACGCGCCGATCTAAAAATAGAACAAAACAACCTCCTTGTAAGGTTCGCATATCTAATTTTAAAATGGCCATTTTCGAAGAGCATAGAATCTGCATTAATTTTTGTTTTAAATTGAAAAAAAGTGCTACTGAGACGTATGAATTGATTGAAGAAGCTTTTGGCGATGCAGCTTTATCCCGTTCAAGAACTTTTGAATGGTTTTCACGCTTCCTAAAAGGTCGGGAAAAGGTAAACGATGATCAGCATACTGGGCGTCCAAGATCATTACGTTGCGAGGAAAACAAGCTCAAAATAAAGGAATTAATTAAATCTAACAGAAGAATTTATATTAAAGACTAATCTTCAGAGACTGGACTATCTGTAGGACTGTGTCATCAAATTGTAACAAAAGATTTGGATATGATCCGGACGTCTTCAAAATTTGTTCCACGGATTCTAACAGAGGAACAAAAGGAGGTTAGAATGGATGTCTGTAAAAACATGGTTGAAATGACTCGGACCGATCCAGAATGGATGCAAAAAATCATTACCGGGGATGAGACATGGGTGTATCAGTATGACCCAGAAACCAAACGTCAATCCAGCCAATGGATTGAAAGAGGGGAACAAGAATTTACAAAAATATATATATATTTACAAAATCCAAAGTCAAGACATTGCTTGTTACATTTTTTTGATATTAATGATTTGGTTCACCATGAATTTATTCCTTTCGGACGTACAATTAATCAAGAGGTTTATTTGGGGATAAAAAGACCTAAAAGACCTGAAAGATGGCAAAACAATGACTGGATACTTCACGTCGATAATGCGCGGCCGCAAACAGCCCATGTTGTTTTGCAGTTCTTGGCCAAACATTCAACCATACAGATCCCTCATCCTCCCTATTCCCCCGACTTAGCCCCCAATGACTTTTTCCTCTATCCTAAATTGAAAATGAAGTTAAAAGAAAGGAAATTTGACAACGTTGATATGAAACAAGCTGAATCGAAGGAAACCTTGAGGAACCTCTCAAAAAGTTATTTTATCTCCTGCTTCGACAATTGGAAAAAAGATAGAACAGGTGTATTGAGGCAGGAGGGGCATATTTTGAAAAATATTAAATAGTTTTTTTTTTCTTTTTTCAAAGATACAGAGCAGTTCTGGATATTAATGAACGCACCTTGTATTTTTCCGTTCGTAAAATAATACATAAAGTTATTTATGATACAATATAATATAAAGCGGCTTGTGATTGTAAAACGACATTTGAAAATTATCCCGCAAGTGTTTCTTTTCAACGAAAAAAACAAAATTTATTTTAAGGAGAAATAACGATTATTTCTAACCTTAGGAATGAGGTATGAAAGGGTGAATTGTGAAGAGTAATGATAAATTACTTTATGTATTATTTACAAACGGAAAAATATGTCCAGGGTAGTCTAGTGGACATGGCATCTGCCCGGTAAGCGGAACAATTCGATTCCTTTCGATTTCAATTCGATTCGGTTCGATTCCCATCCCTGGACACTTTTATTTTTCCGTTTATCATTATTCTTCACAATTCACCCTTTCATACCTCATCCCTAAGGTTAGAAATAATCGTTATTTCTCCTCATAATAAAATTTTGTTTTTTTCGTTGAAAAGAAACACTTGCAGGAATATATTCAAATGTCGTTTTACAATCACAAGCCGCATTATATTATATTGTATTATAAATTACTTTATGTATTATTTACGAACGGAAAAATATGTCCAGGGTAGCCTAGTGGGCATGACATCTGCCCGGTAAGCGGAACAATGTGGATTCGATTCCCATCCCTGGACACTTTTATTTTTCCGTTTATCATTACTCTTCATAATTCACTCTTTCATACCTCATCCTTAAGGTTAGAAATAATCCTTATTTCTCCTTAAAATATATATTTTTTTTCGTTGAAAAAAAAAAACACTTGCGGGATAATTTTCAAATGTCGTTTTAAAAATATATTTATTTAAATGTAAAGGTTTCAATATGTTGTTGCAAGACCATAATGCCGAGAAAGACTTCAATGAGAAGATTATTTAATGACAGTATGTGAGAATGTAAAACTAAATGAATATCATTTTAAATGCCTTACATACAAATAGATTATAGATATAAAAACAGAAATTTGATTCTATAAGTACAAGATCAGTGTGTTTCGACCTAGATATAAAAAGGTTTTCACTTTCAATATCCACCTTCAAGATGAAGATTGTTGTTTATGATATTTTTGGCAAGATAATGGCACGTCCTTCCTCTTCTCAGAAGTGACCTACAGTTGAGGTGGCAGCTGAAATTACGGGGAAGTTATGAGAGAGCGGAGTGATTCAGAGACCTCTCTCAAGTACCGATACCTCGTCACATAGGTTAATAAACTATACTACCTATATATACCTATATATATGTTTGTATTTTCAAGTTGTACATAAACATTTTGGTATATATATAGGGATATTTTTCATATAAAAACCAAGACTGTTAAAAAGCTTTTTTGCCTATAACTAAGCCTGATGTAACCTAAAAATGGCGTTTAATAAAGTTCCACTCGAAAGGCAGTCCGTCACTCAATAAGGTCGAATAATAGGTCTTTAACATTGTCCAAGCTACTTGGAGAAAACGATGGACATATCGGCCAAGGCAGTCCTTAATTGGAAAACAAAGTCCGCCCTCTCTGACGTCATTATCAGTATATAAGTTAGGTCTGTGTGATCCCAAAGCAGAGATAATGAAACACAATAGCATTAGGACCAAATAATAAAGCCTCCGTGGTTGTGTTTCTTTCTTTAAAACGTTTAATAAAGCTCAAGCTTTCGGGTATGGTGGCCCTTCTACAGGAGCAACGCAAATGGTAGTGAATTGTCAGCAGCTGTTATATATTTACCTAATATGTTTACATATTTACAAAAATATTTTATAAGAGAACTATTAATTTCTTGATATATGCTAGGACGCCATACTACCCTATTGACCAGCATCCAAAAACTTTCCGAAAATCCACTCACACCTTCTCGAGTGCTGCCCCCTCTAAACTAGGTAACCATGTTTCTATTATTGTGGTGTTTTCTTTTTTATTCAGGCTAGCGTGCTCCCACTCTATGGCCCATGATTTCAACTTAGATGAGAGGTCTACTGCAACCTATTGTCGGCTCCACATTTTCAACACTATATATATCAAGAACAAAATCTCAAGACCAAAATGAACCAATAGTCTCTTAAAGGATAGTCAAAATTCAAAAGAATGCTCATCTTATTTTCCAAGTTTACCTTGTTTATTTATATTTGAATATTTGTTTTGTTTATATAATATATTGATTTACAAAACCTTAATACAATTAATATATAAAATAACTAATAATATTCTCTATCAGCTAACCAACCAGAGAATACTAAAAAAAACATTCTCATGAGTAATTTCCTTCATTGACTTGTGGTATTCGTGCCTCTTTGAAACCATTGCATTATAAAAATACAAAACCGTCACCATTATTTGTAGAAACTCTCTATTCGCATTTCTATTAATAATGATATTTGTAAACTCAATCTTGTTTTCTTTTTTTTCTATTTATAATATTCTTCAACCTATTTTTTATTTTCTTCTTTTCCTCATTTCTGAGCGAGGATTCAATTTCTTCCCCTGCTTCTCATTTCCTTTTAGATTCATTTCTCACAGGAGAATCGTCTGTATAAGACGGAATGTCTAAATAAAGGCTTGTGTGTGTAAACTCAATGTAATAAAACAAGAAAATTCATATTTAATTCTATTTCAGATACAGGGGCCCGGCATAATGGAATGTTTCATCTTGTTATCAGAATAACTTAATAAATGAAAATCATATTATGATATTTTGAATACACAACAATGGAAATAGTATAACCCATTTTAACACACTCCAAATAATAGGCGCTTTATATTAAGTTTAACTAGTTAAATATATTCAACAATGTGCTTTTATTATCTGATTATCTAATATTGAATGAGAGAGAGAGAATCTTTTTAAAGATGACAATTGAATCTGCGAAAATATTGACTTTAAATAGGAACTAATATAAATATAATATGCTAAAGGAACACGGAAACTTTATCTTCTTATTTATTCCCCCTTAATGTGTAAAATTTCTAATATATTTATATAATCCTTTCAATAAAATTAAGTTAGTCGTATTTATATATTTTATAGGACCAGTTTGGTTAATATATAAAATAGTTAATAAATATTCTCGCCTTTTGAATTAAATTTATTAAATATAGTTTAATATCATATATGAGTTAATTTTATTTTTTCTTCAAACGGTATCAAAAGCCTTTTTGTAAATACATTTTATTGGATGTATAAAAAAACCTACATCTCTGTATTAGCCATTTATGTAGAACCAGTAAAAGCTGTGTAAATACTGTCAACAATTTGGCTGCGAACTTGTAACTCAAATCACAAGCGATAGAAAGTCGAGGTTAGATAATAGGTTCTAAAGTAAAAAAAAAAAAACAGCTCAAGTAGAAATAAAGGCAACGAAACCATTTATTGAGTTCCATTCTGACAAATGCTTTTCTAACAATCGAATTGTTATTTTAATTACCTCTTTTACCTCTTAACTACCCCTCTGAAATTGTCGTTAGAATTTCACGTTTTCCTTTACCGGTGAATTTTCTGCGTTCTTCTCTCCTGCTACGAAGATTTTCAGATCTAACGTAGCTTTTTAAATTCTATAAATATGAGACTTTAAAATATATTAATTATACTTAACGTCAAATTGAAAACTTTCTGAAGTTTTCACTCAAATTAATATTTGTAGTTTGGATATAAGCAGCCGAGGAAGACGGCCGCAGTGGCTGCAAGAAGAAAATGGTCAATGCTGTCGAAAGCCCGATTTAGAAGAGGATATCACCTCATATAAACATGATTAATTAAGCCATATGAATCAACCAACACTCATATTATAGCGGTCAAACCTTTTTTTTATATATTGAACGATAATTCTTGTGTTCTCTATACGATTATTTGGGCTTGTGATTCATTCTATATGAAAGATAAAATTGACGATATTGAAGATTAGTGTTTAATTAGAAGGAAACGAATGTAACTAGGTGATTTTCAAACATAATGGAAAAGAATATATATATTCAAATGAAATTAAATGTTCAATATCCTTATATCTATAAAAATGAAATCCAAAAACGATGTTTGTTATCGCGTTGCGCAAAATCTACAGAATAAATCATTATGAAATTTCGCATGTAGGTAGCTGAAGATTTCGTTTAACATATAGGCTATTCAAAAAACTAAAAAGGTTAATGTGCTTTTTTAAAAATAATATAAAACAAAAAAGCGTTAGTTCCAGCCTTTAACCGCTTGGGCGCAGCACTGGTCGCGACGATAAATGAATTTGATTGGTTAATAATTAACACATGGTTTGCTTACACGATGAATGTTAGTTTGTTAACATGATGAATGTTTTTAAAAGGTAAGTTATCCAATCGCCGTGAAACTTTAGGAAGTTATTTACTATACTACTGGGAAGGTTTCTGGTTTGAATTTGGTTTGAAATAAATATTCTTTGCAATTTTATTTGCAAATCTTCTACTTTCACTCGCAAGCAGCGCCTCTAGCGGCATCTTGTGAAATTATATTTATAAATAGTAACAATGCTTAAAATGTGTTCCAAGTATAATAAATTTAATTTGAGAATTTAGTAATATAATATTCCAATGACGTAAAAAAAACTTGGAATTTCAATATTAATATATATTTAAAGAAAATATTGTAACGTTTTTGTGTTAAATGTTAAAATATATTTTTATATTGTTAATTTGATTTATTGTTGTTTTATAATAGGCATGATGCAAATTACATTGTTGCTGTTGTTTATTATCGTTTGTTTATATGAAAACTTACATTGTATGTGATGATGATAACAAAAATGAATTTTAAAATTAATATATATAATTCATTGAGAAAAAAGGAAATCATTAATTATCAAATTCACAAAAGTGACAATATCTTATTTAAAATATAATAATTGTTTTCGAAAAAATATGTTTCAAAATTATATTTAAACGCGTATAACAATTATTATATTTATATACGTTTATAAATCAATATATAGGTGGATTGGATGTTTTCTAGAATCGTTTTTAACAAATGTTCGTTAGGCAAACTTTTACTCGGATAAAAACCGGACGAAGCCGGGTACATTCGCTAAATACAGTTATTTACAAATCTTCGTTTGTGGCAAGATACTATTCCTTCAACTTCAAATTACCGAGTGGACCAATTAATACTGATTTTTTCAACTTATCGAGTATTTTTTCAAGTACCGGGAAATTTTCAAATTATCGAGAGTATGACAAGATTCAGTAGGGATTGGATGTTTGCTAGAATCGTTTTAACAAATGTTTGTTAGGCAAACTTTTACTCGGGTAAAAATCAGGCAAAGCCGGGAACATATATATATGTTTGTCGGCTATGCACGCCCTCAATATGTAACTAATCTCGCTGAAATTTGAAC